ATACCAATAAAATACTGAAAGCTATGTAACAGGAATGGGAGTGTTGCAGTTTCCATGCCATACATGGACCTTCCCTTCACACTGTGCGTATTGCGGCATAACATCTCTGTAACCGTGATCACTCCACCATGTACATAACTGGCGATTCCAATTGCAAGGTATAACAGAAACTAACTCTGGATGCTCAAAACCTAAAAGAGTATAAAAGTCTTGATCCCCAAGGTGTCCCTGTTTGATAAAAGAATACATTTGATTACATGACCTATAAAAACAAACTGCTTAAACAAGAGATTGAGGTACATTCAACTCACTTTGAAGCTGTACTTTTTCGTTAGTGATGTCACATTAAATGCGTGGACGAGGTGAGGGTACATGGGCGAGTTGCGTAATCGATCAAGAGCAAACAGAATCACTCCACTATTCAAACCAGGAAATCCTCCAGTTGCTATAGGATCACCTATTTTCGATGAAGGGTTTTTTGATCGGTAAAGATAGAGAACATGCCGATAAACAGGTGATAACTCTGGAGCTAATGCAAAGAGTGTATCATTCCCAAAGCTGTAAATTGGAAATGATTTGATTGATAACTTAAATTTACCAAATGGAATTAATTGCTGCAAAATGTTTTTTTTTTTTTTTAAGGTACTCACCTTTCAAATAATTCAAATAACTTTCCAACATCAGTTAGTACTTTTGTATCAATATCAAACATGGCAGCTCGAGACATTGACACAGGGGCTATGCGATGTAGTCCAAGTGATAAGAAAAAGAGAGAGTCACTGTAATATGACCCAGGCTGAGAACTAAAATGTGGCTGCATAGCAGCAACCAATGATTTCAGGTCCTTCGCAATTTGGTTGACATCATAGAAACTTATCTGTGGTACAAAACATACAAAATTAACCAACACTTCACCTTACAATTTTGCAACCAAATTAAAAAAACAAAAAAAAACAACAACAAACCTTTATATCCTTTTTAAGGGTGTCCTTTACACTTTGCAAAATTTCTTGGGCTATTCGTTGACTTGATGTGTCAACAATGACATGAAGGGAAATCATAACACTGTTAGCGTTTTCGACTAAAGAGTGCGTAAAGGTGAGCAGTTTATATTTCATGGAAGCATTCCCTGCAGCTTTAGTGAATATGCACCAAATATTAACTTCCTCTTTGGGTGTAGACACACTGGATGATGACAGCTTCGACCCGTCACTAGCTGGAGCCATGGTCTCATCAGAATTTCGATTTAGTAACGAATCGGAAATATTGTAAACATAAAACACTACGAGAAATGAGACTAGGAGGATTAAATTAAATAAAACTTTGTGAAGTACTCGCATCTAGGAGGGACATAATATGAGTGACAAAATTTCACCTGCGTCCGTCTCCTTATTTGTTTGTTATTTAGCCTAGTTAGTTGGGCAGGGCAGGTGGGTGGGTGGGTGGAAGGGGGAGGATGAGGGGAGATTGAAGAGCTAACACAGCAGCGAGGCTATAGAGTGTATGAGGAATTCAAACTGAGAGAGAAGCCAACGCGCGAGCTTTTGATTGGGGATGTCAAGCCAAGCCTGCCAAGCCGTTTCAGGTCGGCCCTCGGCTCGGCTCACCATTTGGCTTGAAAGTACCAACATTTTTACAGAATAATAATCCTTGTTCTTTCCCCTTCCTCTTAAGAGGATATGCTATCTGAAAGAGATGGCCCCGCGGATAGATCGCGGCCCCTTTTCACCTTCAAGTTCCGCGCCGCCGTTTTCACGGCCACTCGGACTACGATAGTCTTGGTCGGTGTGGTTGGTGATTGATCGGGATCGGAGATCGAGTCGGATCGAGGCGATTTCTGGATTTGTAAACACGATTTCACTACCTTTCTTGAGACTTAATGCGAGTAAGAGTGTTGTATTCAGTTTTTTTTTGGCTTTCAAGGATAGCCTGGTAAGTTTTGCATTTAATGCAGTTTAGTGATGCCTTGCGCTGTGCACTTCTGTATAAAAAGGAAGCTGCATGCCCACCCTAACCATTTTCTGGTTTCACTTTTTCGTCTGTATTTTTGTTGGTTCTATTACAACGCTTACCTTTAATCCACACTATCTTTAACACGTTTTCAAGGCATAAATATCTAATTGTCGTTTTATTTGCTTAATTTCTAATTTTTATTGTACTCGAGCTTAGCACATCCCTCAAACAATCTGAAAAAAAAACCTATCCACGGCAACTTTCGTGCCTTCTGAAGAGGGACCTCTTCTCTTCACTGTCATAATCCTTATATCTATTATTCCTTTTTTAAAGCTACTTCTACGAAAACCACACTCTTTTGCTACAAGGTTCAACAGACAAGCCAGTTTTGAGAGAAGATTTGAAAACATTGTTTTGATCACATTTTATTTCCCTTGTTTCTGCTAAATAAAACAGGATTCTGACTCCTCTATGAAATCTCGGAAAAGTTCTCTTGGAACATCTAAGAAAACAACTGTCATGGCAAATACTATCAAACGAGATAGGAGTTTGGGACCCGGAAATCGTAGGAGATCAAGTAATCAATGTAAGTTAGGATTTGAAATACTTGAAAAAATAAGTGAATATTCACTCATTAATACTTCTCCTAATTTCCAGATGTTGTAGAACTACGTATGAACAATGCCAAACTAGCTACTAGTCTTGCAAACGAGAGAAATAAAAATTCAAAAATTATTCAACTGAACACATCAATGCGAGAGCAAATTGTTGGTCAGCAAGTAAGTCCTTTT